GAAATATTTACCAAGTCAATTGCAGCACATGGATCAAGACAAGCAGCTAGGGTTGTTCATAAGAGATTTTATTGTAGCAGTAAAGCAGCCCAAAATAAAGCTTCAGTTAATTAAAAAAGAAGAAGGGTAAGCACACAAATGGAACTGCACAAAAAGGACTTCGTATTTGCAGAATTTATACTTACAGAAAAAAGGCTCTCTGATGCCCTGTCATATGGATGCAACGACTTCACATCCTGAAGTAGAGTTTGACCATTCTCTACCTGACAATTGGAAATTAAGTTGGGATATTAAAACTGTAATAAAAGATGCAACAAGGACAAATGGAAAATAAACACACTGAGATCTAGATTATGTTTGCTTTCTAATTTTAACAAACCTCAGTAGGTTTCCCAATGGAATATCCCTTCGGATAAAGGTTCAAGGTAAAAGAGACCTCGTGCTCTGCCACAGTATTCAAACAAATGAAATAGCTTATTACAACTGATAAATTTTGTGTTAATGGTCAATAACTAGTAATCAAAATTACCTGGCAATAGATGATCAACACCATTTACAGCCTCAGGGATATCAACCTACAATATAGGATATTTTAGGGGGAAAAAAGAGTAATAAGGATATAAGATTGCTTTCCAGAAGCAGCAATGCCATATAAAAGTAATATCATTGGCAAAAAAGCAGTCATTTAATATGCTGGAAAATGTATACAATTACAAAAGGTCAATAGAACATTAGGTGCCTCAATAAATGAGCATGTTTAATATTAACAAGACCGAATGACTCTGGTACACAACTAAAAGCATGTGTCATCACAAATAAGCAAAACAAAGTAACTTCAGACGAGTCATTAATATAGAGCAGAGTGCCACAAAGTTTGTTTTGATATCACAATTAAACCAAATGCTCAACATCAGTAAGTTTTAGACAACTAACAGAGAGTAAGAAAGAAGTAGATCAAGAAAAAGTTAAGTAAAATAATAATAAGTATGAAACTTCAATAAATATGACTGATAAATATGATTGGAGACCTTAGAAAGTGAAGGATTTCTCTGATTAATGAAAGGAAAGAAAAAAAAAGCAAACTCGATTTGATTTAAACTCTCAGTCATCTGGTTTGCTTAGTGTTGGAGCTAAATCCGGCGTGTTGCTGTCAGCAACAGGAAGTTTAGTTAAAAATAGAAAAAAAGATACTGCTCCAAGTTTGGTCTAAGATTTTGATGAACTGAATAATGAACAAGCTGAAAGCATGCAAAAGGCCAGATATGAAAGTAAAAGCTTTCTCTCTTTCTTTAAACCAGTCTGAAAACTTCCAGAATTTGATTTCTCTCTCAAGGATGTTAAAAGAGCAGAATCGAAAAAAAAAAAAAAGACTATTCAACTCCAGATAACAGAAAAGAGAACAATATATAGCCAAAAAAAGAGTAAGAAAAAGAAAGAGAATATTTTATATGCGCAGAACAGTACGCCATACAAGAAAATCGTCGTATATGAAAATGGATCTCAAACTCGAGATATACCAACTTCTCAACACTAAGGCCAGGATGTTAAAAAGAGCAACTATGTAACTCCAGATAACAGAACTTAAATCAAAAAGAGAACAGAAAAAAAGAAGGGTTTTGTATGCGCGCAACCAGGCGTAAGCCAGCCCAGAAAATCGTCGTATCTGAGGATGGATCTCAAACTCGCGATACATCAAGTCATAACCATCGATAAAACAACAAACTCGGGCCAGATCGCGATCACAGGTACCCCCAATTCGAAGTCTTGTAGGGTTGGTCAGAACCAGAAAACGTACAAAAGGACTGCAAAATCCAAGCGGCTACCAGGCACAGAAACACGAAAGCAGCAAATATTACAACGAAGAGCAGCCAAAAACCCGTCTTTTCTCCAAAAAAAGACCCTCAAAGCAAACCAAGAACCATGAATCGCCCAGTCTCAACCAACGATAAGCTAATCCACGCGAATATACCGACGAAAAACGCAAGACAAGCAGGAGATTCAAAGGAAGGAGGAGCCGAACCTCGCGCTTCGACCCAGTACGAACGAGAACACGAGAGCTCTCTCCCGATAGGCCGGTCTCTTCCTGCACCAGCGTCGGCTTCGGACGGAACCGCTTCCCGGTCTTCGAGACCTTGAAGGACACCCCCATCTCCCCCCTGCTCCTCCTCCTCCTCCGCCGCCGCCGCTCCCTTCTCTAGCGGGCCATGGATCCGCACTCCGGCCAAAAGTTGGCGATAGGAAATCCTACAAGAACCCTAAGCCCCAAAGAGCTATTCTCGATTGGCATCAACAAGAGCCTTGTCCTTCCCCTCCTGATGTAAAGCTCTTCCCTTTACCTTCTTCGGCTGCTGGCCTCCGAATAGAGGTATGGAATAGTCTGAGAGAGAACCTCTCACAAGGCTATGGATGTGGCCCAAAAGAACGGCCCAAGCCCAATCCATAAACACAAATTATAGTGGCCGAATTCCTTTTCTTTTTTGGATAAATTTCAAGAAAAAACACCTCTTAGAACGTTCCTATTTATCATAATATCTAAAATATCTTCTAATAAAATAACTAAAATATTACCTGATTATATACCTTATGGATCGATCTAATCGATTTATTTTTCATTGTATTTATTATATATATTAATAGCATTTTAGAATAATATTTTGGTTCAGCAAATTTTTAGAGACTTTTTTTAAAAAAATTATATTAATAATAAATAAAATATTTGAAATTTATAAAATAATTTAGAGCATATATCAATATAGGTTTCTATTTTTATTTAAAATTTTAAAATTTTTTATATACTTAAATATTATTCTAAAACAAATAATTATGGCATATAGAATTTTTTTTCTAATTTACCAATTCTTAATATATTGAATTGGACCAAGAGAAAGAATGACCATAGTAGAGAGAGAGAGAGAGAGAGAGAGAGAGAGAGAGAGAGAGAGAGAGGCAACAAGAAAAAGGGGGCAGGCAATGTTGGAATTTTAAAGAGTATAGGCTAAATTTATTTTTTTTATTTATTACCAAACAGTATGAATATAGCTTATTTATTTTTGTAAAATTATATATCCTAATATTATTATTATTATTTTTCAAAATATATCCCTTCCATTAATATCCATCCAATAAAACTAAGGACAATCACTGCTGACTATACTTACCATTACTAATTTGAATTAAAATTATCAAATATATAAATACTTCAAAAAGTCATTATTGGCATAGGGCATTATTATCAAAGTTAACTAATTAACTACATGCTAAATATAAATGTATAGGGTTAAAAATGCATGTGATGAATGAACCTAAGCAACATTTTTCGACTGTGGGATGAATATGACCATTATTTCAGACATTTTATATATTTTGTTAGCACCAATTGTGCCACTTAAACTCTAATAAATGCATACAAGTCATCAAAGCTAATTTGAATAACATCATAAAATTCATACACTTAAGCTGTATATATATATTTTTTTTCCAAAGAAGCCTACTACTATTTACTATTTTTTTTACTAAGTGACAATCCTCTTGCTATCAATAACTTTAAAAAATAATAAAATACTTATTTTATTACTTACAATCTCACTAATATAGATTTTAAATTTTTTTCTCATAATCCCTTATTTCATCCTCACTAACATCGCTCCTTGCCAATATCGTTGTCACTAATTCAATTCAATGTGAACATCAGTCATACACTCTCTTGAACACCTCTCTGTTTACTATACTATCGATACTCAACATACGTATGTTGCTTATCGTCTCTTTACTTGTTATTGATATCGCTCGTTACTTGTCATCGTCCAACCCTATTCGTACGTCTTCTTGATGCCATCCTCCGACGAGACGAAGAGAAAGAAGAAGAAAAAGAGGAGAAAGAAAAAAAAAATATTTTTTGAATAATTTAAAAATATTTTAAAAAATAAATAAAAGAGTAAGGGATGGTTGTAAATAATAATCTCATTTGAAGTGAAGTGGATTAAGATGAATATTTGAAGTGTATGATGGAATGACATGAGAAAGATTTAAATGAGATCCAAATCACAATTATTATTTACCAATAATATATTATTGGCGGAAAAGATAATGATGGGGGATAAGCATTGGGAAGCTGTTGACTTCTACTATTGGTAGGTATTGACCATAGAGAGATGATAAAAAGGTGTGCACGTAGAAAGTAGTGACATTTTAATTTTTCCTTTATTTATCTCCTGATGTTTACTACATGATGATACCATAGAACAAGACCCAGGCAAGTCCTTATGACCTAACCCTTGAGATATAAATCTATTAATAGGATCGATCACATGAATCTTTTATCGATATTAAAATATATATTTATATATAAATATAAAATAAAAACAACATTATAGTCATAATTGTTTATGCTCGGTTACTTAGATTTTTTACAAAATTAAATTATATAAAGGTTTATATATAGGCATCTTAATAGTATTTAAATTTGTATTTATGTCTCTTTATCTCTTTTCATACCATTAATAATATTTATTTCATCGGACCGATATATATCAATATATATATATATATATATATATATATATATATATCATCTTAAATAGATTTAATCTTATTTTATCTAATTATTTATAAATAAAAATATTTTTTTATCTCAACATTCTTATTTCTGCAATACAAATGATACATAATATTTTTATTTTTTATTTATTTCGAATCATACACATGATCTGTCTATACAAAAGTTGTAAAACAAGGAAATTTGAACCCATGATCCAAATGCCTTGAAGTAAAGAACAAATCAAAGAGAAATCCAAGTCAATGCTTGAAATCATTCCTCATGTAATCTAAAAAGAGAAGTACAAAACAACCAGTAATAAAACACATTTTACATTCCCAAAACTATGTGTGACTATCCTTTTTAAGGGAAAAAAAATGTTGCTCATCTTGTTCTAAGAAATTTATTCCACATCGAATTTAATATGGTAATTAAGAAATATTTATATTTTTATTAGCAGCAACAGGATAAACAGGGTCTTCCCACAGTAAAATTGAAGGAAAATAATTTCCTTCCATTTCTGTCACATCTTTGTCCAAAAGACATTTAACTTGATCTGAAACTGCATCCAATGAAAAAATGATAAGAAAAAAGAAGTTGATGTTCATCAGCAAAGAGGTGAAACTACTGCCTTTTTGCATTTCCCCTATGTATTTTATCTAGATATCAGACTCCTAGCCTTAGGCAAACACCACTAGGAATTAATACATGTTATAACCCCTGATAAAACTGGGGCTCCCCTCTTGCACAAGAAAAAAAGGGAAAAAAAAATATATGTGCCGTGGAAGAGTTAAGGGATCGGAAAATCACTTCGCCACCTTCTGGGACTTCATCTTCCTGTTATTTACACTACAGTTTGGGCAGATATATTCTAACCCATCTGTCTTTGCATAATCCTGCCACAGAAACACAGAAAAGCACAAGCTACATGTGAGATTTCATGGTCATGATACTGATCTAATGGTGATCAAACTCTAAGTCTAAGAGACCAAAAACTACTTGTCATGAAGAAACAAAGCAATGACGCATGATTTTAAAGTCTTCTACTGTTAATGCATCATGTGATATTAGGTTGTAGACGTAGGAAGAAGAACCTTAAAAGTAGCAAGACCCTGACGTCGATCACAGCCAAGGTGAGCCCATTCGCTGCAGGAGCCACAGCTCACCCAATCACCAGGAGCACTACTGTAGAAGAATCAGGGTACCACAATGTCAAGATTTTGGAGCAGAACACAGTGCGGTAAGAAAATTAGCGCTTGCTTACCTGCGACACAACAAGCAACATTCTCCGTCTACGTCATTGTGTGCTAGTTCATATTCCAAAAGATACATTTCATAATGTTTTTTTAATGTATTTCCAACACCCTGGAGTTAGCCATAGGACAAAAAAATGAAAATTTAGTTAGTTCATGTATGCACAGTTTCAATATAATACAAGTCCAGGAATAAATTTGAAATTTAGGATGATAACAAGTCATAACCCAGCCATAAGTGCATAAGTATCAGTTTGTAAGACAACTAGCCTTAGTGTTATAAACTGAACTATATTTTAATTACATTATGGAATGACGATTATTTTCCATAAAATTGGTATTCCAGGTTGAAAGCATAACTAATAGAAGGCCAAACCATGTTTCATTCCAATCTTATACATAAATGGAAGGAACTGCACTTAGGCCAATAATTGCTGTGATAAATATGTTATGATAGAGCCCAAAGCACTGGCTTGTATCTTGTGATAATTGTAAATTTCTAACAGCTACAATCCACTCCTCTTGCAACCTATAGCAAAATTAACTAGTTAATTAAAAGAAAATAATAACTTACAGTCATTTTATTTGAAGCTGTATAGTTTTGCATCTTTGAGAAAATCTGGCCTTTCCAGTTTATGCCATTCCCAACATAGAAGCCTCCCCTTGAAACTACCTGCAGAAGGGGATATCCATGAATCATAATTTGAGATTCTCATGTAGGAAGGCATATGACCAACGCAAAAATGTGGGTTTTTGGGAAAAAAATCAAAAGGACCTGTCTATACAAGTTGAACAGATCCAGGCGCTTTGCGTTGAGTACAGCATCGGGAAACTTGGATATTCCTCCTTGGGGAACAAGCCGATTATGTCCTCTAATGACCAGAAACTGCATAACATCCTCAAGAAACTCTACCTGGATTACAATGAAAAGGGAGATAAGATAGGATATGCAACCCCATTTGGGCCCAAACATGTAGCATATACTTACTTCAGAGCAAACTTGAATCGAAGATCTATTACATCCATGTTTCTTCAGTGGCAGAGGATTCTGAGGTACAATCTTCTGTTTTGGACGAAAAGAACTTGACATTGACGTTCTAGGTGTCAAAGGAACACGGATAGTGTTATTCTTTTTGGAAGATGCAGTCGGCACATCATCCTGAATGCCTAAGGGCAACATCCGCTGTCGAGAGCATGGAACAGGCTTCATTGTAGCAACCTTCAATCTTTTCCGACCAGAAAATGAGAGTATGTGAATTGCTTCACGTGAAACAACTTCCTTCTTGGCATCCTCAACATCATTAAGAAAAATCCCATTTTCCTTCATGGTTTGGCTAAAGGCAATAGGTTTAGCTTCGGAAAAAGTCTTGGACCTCTTTGTAACAACAGATGAAGACAAAGGAGGCAGAGAAGACAATTCGTGTCGGAAGATAATTTCTTTCCTTTGTCTATTCCATAAGAAAAGAAGGCGATCAGCATCTTCTTTCTCAAAAGAAGCAACTGGAATACCCTGTATACTCGCAATGCCAAGAGTGACCAAGCTGCGATAGGAGACTTCAGATGCTAGCTGTTTCAAAACCTGTACCACAGGCTTCATCAGACATGCAATCATCATGTGCTAACATGCATATATTGCATTCAGCAAATAGGACCATGAGAAAAAGCCAAAGGTTCATGAAATATTATTTTCTTTTACCATTTCAGATAGACGCTTTTGAAATTGATAAAAAAACAGAACCAACAGAAGCTTGCACATGCAATAATCATAGGAACAGAAAGTAAGCATATTTCAGCTCCAGATAGAACTAAAGTTTGCAGCAAATCATCATTTTATAACTGATCACCAAACTTACAGATCTATGTTTGGGGACATAAATAAATTGGATATTAACCTGAACAGCCCAAGATGGAACCTTCATCCGGACTTCAAATGCAGAAGCCCCACAAGCAACAGAAACTGAAGGCAGAGATTCATACAGAGGTGGTTTGTTTTGGTCACAATCTGGAATAGCATGAACTAGCTGACTCTTCTCAATAAGTTCATTTTTTATGTGGTTTTCCAATACCTGCAAATTAAGAGAAAGTGTCTTAGATACAAAAGTCTAACAATTTCACAGGCACATAATCATGCTAAGGTTTTACCTGATCATTAAGACATGACTGCACACTATCAGACACTAAGATGGAAGTGTGTGTGGAACTACAAGTTGTGAGATCACATCGCATGGTAACAACAGCATCAGAAAGTGGCCCATCTTGAAGAGGATGTGCGACACTGTCAGGCATTTTGTCACAATCCATCAGTTGTTGTAGCAAAGTAATGTCATTCAAATACAAAGAAAAATTATTAGATATGACCAACAATTGTTTAAAAATTTCATTGTCATGATCCAAGTAAAAATGTTCATTCCCTCTACTGTTCTCACAAAACAGTTAAGTCATTGCAAAAGGCATCGCATAGCAAGTCCCCACACAACCTAGGAACATCCCACTAATGGCACAGGACTCCATATCATCCAAGCCTTTTCCATCCTATGGATCAAAGTTCCACAGAAGAGTTGACTGCAATCAGCTTCGACTTGATGTCAATCCTCTCAAAGCATATATATCAAAAGAGGTAATGCACTAAGACCTATCAGAAAGTCTGGTGACGGTGTTGTACCACACCCACTAAAATAACAGACAATAGATCGCACGAGCAGATATGAACAATCATGCCCACCACACAACCTGTTTAGCGACAAAGGATGCATATGAATTATCATCCGATGACAACATGACCAAGGTTGGTCAGGAAACGTCTCCCAATAGTGATGTGGCCGAATTCAACCATGCAGTATCATCCTTTAATGAGACAGTCGAATCTGGCTATAAGGTGTTTCCCGACAATGATGCAATCAATAAAACATCTCCCGACAACAATATAACTGAATCCAGTCATGAATCATCATCTAATGACAACGCGACCAAATCCGATCATGATGCATCTCTCGACAGTGATGCGATCGAATTCAACCATAAAGCATCATCCGACAATGACATGACCGAGTCTCCCGACAAGGATGCAATCAAATCTAGTCATGAAGTATCATTTGATGACCTCGCGACCGAGTTTGACTAATGAAGTGTCTCCCAACGAAGATGCGGTCAAATCCGACCATGAAGTATCATTTGATAATATCAAAACCGATCCACATGCCAAATATACTCATAATAGGTTACATGGTCAGTTTGCTTTTGAAGTATAATATCATGTCCCAACCCCCCCTATGTCGAAACACAATAGGAGACAAATAATAAAGGGGAGTGATACGACCCTTACTAAGTACATCCTAATGTAATTTTAACATGATCATCCGTTGGATTCTTTATATCTTCAACATCAAACTTGCGACGAACCTTGAAGCTAAACCCAGATTGAATCTGAATCCTTGACATGTCAGACAACTAAAATCTATATTGTCAAGTGGTAAATCCATGACCCGATACACAGTGATTTAAAAAGCGCTAGGCGCCAAAAGGCGCCAAGGTCCAAAAACGCTTGAGGCGCTAGGCGATCGCTCAGGCGCTCGCCCGAGCGAAGCGAGGTGCTAAAATATAAATATATATAATATAATTAATAAATATAATTATTTAAAATTTTAAATAAAAATATGCTATTAAATTAAGAAAATCTAAGAGCGGCGGGAAGCAGTGGCGAGCGGCGGCAGCGGCGGGAAAGGGAAAGGGAGCGGGAGGCGCGAGCAGCGGGAGGGCTCGCGGGAGTCGCGAGCAGAGGGAGGGCTCGCGGGAGTCGCGAGCAACGAGAGCAGGAGCGACGAGCAGTGAGATCGGGAGCGGCAGCGACAGCGGGTTAGGGTTGGGTAAGAGTTATATCGGTTTAGTTGGTTCGATTGAACCAACTAACAACCGAACCAGGACCGAACCAGTCCTAAAATCCCGGTTCGGTCACTTGGTTTACCCAGGCACTCGCCCGAAGCGCCCAGCGCCTGGGCTCGGGCGAGCGCCCAGGCGGCGCCTGTTTGAAGCGTGCCGCCTGGGACATTAGCGAGGAGCTCGGGCCTCGCCTCGCCTCGCCCGAGCGCCTAGGCGAGCGCCCGAGCGCCTCTTTCAATCACTGCCGATACATAAGATAGTTTTAAACCTATTGAGATTGTTGAATGTTGTCCACAAGGTGAGACTTGTTCCTTCGAGTTTAGTACATATCTAAGTTGCATAATTATTCTATTTTCCTATCTAAATAGAGTAGAATATATACAAAATATAATAATGACATGAAAAGAAAATGAAGAAAAATAAGATGCATCAATATAGAATTTAAGCATGTATTAAATATGATTTGCTCTTTTTCAATTGATATTACTATATGACATGCAACATAGATATTTATAATACAATATGTGTTGTGGAAGTGTGATTTAAGTAAATGCAAAGATAACTTTCATAGATATGATAATTTTTGTTTTGCATCAATATATGATAAACATACAATAGACAGAAATCAGTTATTATGAGCAAATTTTCTTTTCTATATGAAAATATCCTTATTATCTTGTTAATCCTTTTCATTGGTGTTATACTCTGCATAACATGGACTTTTGTAATTGAAACATATCGGTTTAATGTATTGATATGTGCTTTCTTTTGAACTAGTCTTATTTTTTATTAGGCATTTGTGCTAAAAAAAACATCCTAAAGATATCGTTTGAAGCTAGCATGATAAATGTTTGAGGTGAAGGTAGGTTTGGTAATTGAACATTATTGTAAGAGATGTATAAAATGTTTGAGGAAATGCAGTAATTGAACATTACTGCTTCGTGCAAAATTTTATGTTTCATGCACTTATAATCTTCTCGAGATTCAAGTAAGGCTAGAGCAGGGTATAACAAGACCTGTGTCGATCCATGGCTAAATCGGTATGGTTCCGATCCATTCCAGCATATCGTGTGTCGGTATGCCAAAACAATATCATGAACCGTTTAGGGGAGGGAAAAGGAAGAGGAAGAAGGAAGAAGAGAAAGAAGAAGAAAAAAAAAGGAGGTGGCATGGAGGAAAGAAGGTATATCAGAACAGGTGGTGACCAGTGGGCAGCTTGTGGTGGGCGGTGCATGATGGATGATGAGCAGACGTGTGAGCATTGATCATCGGGCCTCTTTGCAAGCATGAGGAGTTGCATCCCCGTCCTTAACCCTAGTTAAAGAAAATATATACTATATATAGAATACTAGACGACAACGCCAGGTTTGGGCTGGTTTGTGTACCAATAGATACCAAACCAGCAAGTTCAACAAACCTTGGGCCTAACTATGTAGGGAGGTCATTTTCACTTTTCAAACCCACGGGAGCATGGCCACACTGGAACAACCTTAATGTTACACTACCATCAAGCATACAATAATAATGATTCATAAGAATAAGTATGGGGATAGTAGACATACCTCATTCGATTATTAAGTTTACTCCCACGAATCTGAGGCAACAATAAGATAATGTTAGCTAAATGATAGCAGAGAATTTATTATTTAAACAACTAATTTAAAGACTCGATTATTGAAGATAAGGTGATAAGGCTAGTAGGAATGCCTCTTAATATATGTCTATTTAGGTCTGAAGGTCCCAATAGAATCAAGATGCACAAAAATGCTTCTAAGAATGTATAATCTATAATTCATGATTGTAAATGCAAGGCTTCTAGGATATCAAGAATGTTTTGATTAAAAAAGACATCCATGACTTAATTTTTTTTTAAGTGCAGTGCATAAAGTGATAAATAACATCTTCTTACAATTGCTAAGGTTTTGTAAAATTGTGAAAACTGTTTTTTTTTAACTACTGATAAAAATTGGTTAACTTTGTGAAATAACTCGGTCATCTGAGAACGATAAGTTGATGGGAAAAACAGTAAATTAGCTCTTGGAAATATCCTCCCAAGTTGTTTTTTCTCACTTCAACTAAAAATACAGACTTGTCTTGTTAAAATTTTGCACCTAATGATGTTAATATTCACCAAGATTCGAGTGAGAAAGGAAAGGAATGAAATCACAAAGGTGGCAAACCTGGAGAAAGCAAAAGCTAATTAGCATATTGCAACTAGGTTTAGCTGAACTTTTGTGGTTCTTGTCAAAGGAAATCATCCATTTAAAGATAAAACCAGTTATCATTTGTCAAGAAGCTTAGACATATTAAGCATTAGGAAAAGAAAAAAGCAGTCGTTGATTCACGATACTTACTTCAATGTTTAAAAGGGCATTAATGCCGTCTTCCAAAGAACCCAGTAAACATGCATCCTGAAAAGAGTGGTTACAACGTTAAAACTGTGGAACAACTGGGACACAAATATTACTTCTAGAAATAAAAGGCCCCTACTCACCAGCGTGCAAGGTAATCCGCAAATGAGCAACCTCATATCCACATCACCATCATTAATTTTTGTCACAGGAAGAGAATCGGATGAGGTTTCTTCACCCTCCTCTGCAGCTCTATCTGGAAGAACAATATTTATTTTAGGAGCATCTCCCAGTAGCTGTGGCCCATGATTGCTGCTTTCTTTTTGCCCATTATCTGGGAGAACATAGTTATTTCGTACACAGTACAAGCGGAAAGATGCATGAGCAAGTTGGAAAGCATCCCATGTGTGACTACATGAACTGCACAGAAAATGCTCAACCATGACAATCAGCAAGTTTCGTTACTCAAAGAGAGAAGTGGAAGCACAAAATTATACCTTTGTAAAACAGACAGCAATGCCTGGCGAAAATGAGAAGCTGTGTAAGATGAGACTGCATTCTTCCAGTATATCACATATGGAGTCCCCTGCCAATCAAGAATGCTAAAATCAGTATTTCATCCACATGTAGACACTATTGGATCAGCTCTTAAAACATAAAGCATTAGAAAATAAATGATGGACTGTTTAATAAGTGAGCAGATACAGAAACATAAGTAGTGCATGTTCCTTAATCACAGAAGTCAAGGTTTCAATAGCACCAATCAAAAGAACATGCATGCAATTGTATAATTTTTTTATAGCATCCCACCTTTGAGTGTAGTGCTTGTGCGATTTTTTCACCATTGGGGACCTCCAGATAAACCTGCATCCATCATCACAAGTCAGACATGAACACATACAGGATAAAAATTAATTAATGTTCATCAGAAAACAAACAAGTATCACTTGTATTATGAGAAAAAGATAAAACAAATTGAGATTACATTTTGATCATATCATTAAACAAATGAAACATCTTCCACAACATGGAAAACAAAAAATAAATGTTTAAATAAATACCTCCTTTATCAGTACAAATCAGATAAAATGCAGCCAAATAGAAGATATTTTCATCAGCTTAAAAAGATGATAGCAATTATACCCACAACAGAATATGCCACACAATACACATACAGAAGCACTCTACAGAAAACCACAGCACATGCCCAGCACAAGCACAATGCTGAATGGCACCAAGGTGGATCGCATAGGAAGCACCAGTCCAGCGGATGAATGTGCACATGAGGCACAGAGCAACTAAATCCTAGGCTACACTTTGAAGCATCTAACAACAAAAGTATGCCCCAAACTGCAGCTTTTTAACAACACTAGATGTCCGATAATCACTTCCAAAAAATCAATTTTCAATGAATGGTTATGAAGTATGCAAGAGAGAATGATTTACACAAGGGAAAATATTGACTTATTCAGTTTGCTGCAGTGTTCTCCTGATACTGATGTAGCGTTTTCAGAAACTTTAATGCTCAATTCAAAACACACATGTAATACAGATAAATGAAACTGAATATCAGTTTGGATAATTATATTGCTTACTGTTGTCGGTAATGGAGGATCAATGAGGGCACTGAACATATCGGGCTTGGACACATCAAGGTCCCCCCAAACAAGTGTGCCTATTTCTTCCTCATTCTCAAGTTCAGACCCTTGAAAGTACAAGATATTCGGCTTCAGTGACTTCTGAGCTTCACGGAAACTATCCACTGATGGATTAACAAGTGTATGAACCTGCACCGGAACACAATCAATCAGTGAACAAAATCAATAGTATAGAACTTAAAGAACACCATAACATGAACTTCAAAGAAAATACCAACCTCAAGGCGACCTGATGAAACAAGCTCAGGAAAGGGATATGGATGCTGTCGTTTTACCTCATTTCTTTTGCCAGTAAATTTCCCACATAAGACAGCAACGAGTCTACAAGTTTGCTTCGAGAAACCGTGAGTTTGATGCATCATTCTTTTATGTCATCAAATGCATAGCAACCGAGCTACCTCAGCTTCCTCTCAAAACCAATACCTTCTGCACCCACTTCCAATCGAACCCGAATGTGGGATAAACGGAGAAGCACCGGTTCTATTCCAACTCTCTTATCCAAGAAACCCAAACAAAATCTACAAACCCTAAATTCTTTGACCAACAAAGCAAATTCCCCGCCAAAATCCCAACTTTCCGCTCAATCGTCTCCAGAGACCACCAGAAATAGCAAAAGTTCCAGCGATTTGACGGGCCCCCAGATTCCCAGATGAAAAAATGGGCGACCAACAAAAGGGCAACCGGAGAGTAAAGCGAAAAAAATGACGAAACAAAACCTACCAGACTCGGACCTCCTTTTAAAGATCATCATAAGTACATATATAGAAACCCACGCCCGAATCGGAATCAAAGTAGCCTCCCAAACGCGGAGACCAACTAAACCGAACAAGGTTGGAAGGACAAAAATTCAAACAAATAATCCAAAAATTGGTTAACCAGAAACGGAAAATATGGGATTTTTGCGGGTCGGCAGCGGGATTTTTTTGAGTACGCGAGATGGGCCTCGTTCGTTGTTACGCTCGGGCGTCGGTTTGGATCCATGCCGGTTCTTTTCTTCTTCTTTTTCTTACTTTTTCCGATCCGATTCATGACCTTCTGCTTCCGCTACCGCTGTTCCAAACGCAAGAAGAAAAGAGAATTTTTAGTGTGTGATGATCAACCTTGACGTCCACCCGCTCGCCCTCGTGTCTCTTCGATCTTCCATATTCCTGGATCGTCGACGCGGGGGATTTGAATCCCTGCTCGATGGACGTACAAGTTTTCCTGGTTCGCGGGTGCGTTCTTGGCTCCGACGAGGGGTCTGCCAAGCACGTGATTCGGATTGGTTCAGTTGTCCCTCCGGAAACATTTAAACGAACGAGATACCCCGAATGGGGACAAATCGATCCGCATAAAGAGAAAAAACTTTAACCTACATATTAAATACCATGGGCGGTTCGTTAAAAGGGAATAAGGTGACTCGAGGGATCATTCCACACATCTATTTTGGATACATTGGTCACAGTCATGTGGAGGAGACCTTCTTTAAGACTTGCGGTTAATATAGTGGGGTGGGGAGACCTCTCGACACTCGAGAGGAATCAGATTTATGGAAGGAGTGCCAAAGTGGAAAGGGCGATATTTAGCGTAGAGAAATCGGGAGATGCTCGTCGCCATGGCCACTCTTGGATACAGAGGAGGTGAGGCAATACCGGTTTAATCTTTTCAATAGTTCTCATTAACATTCCAAAATAGATCCTTGGTTTTCTTCTGCCAACCCCTTTTTGAATCATGTGGAGGACTGCATCCAAAACCCCACACCGGTATCTCTTAGGAGCCGACAAGGGGTGAGATAGGCCAGAGGTAAATATCCCTCTTTTTGAATGTCGATGATCCGCAGATGTGAGGCTTAGAGGCAAAGGGGGGACTTTAGTTTTATGTTCGTTAGAGGATCTTTGCCTTTTTTATCTATGCATGTATAGTGCACCCATTATCATTAATTTTGATCATCAACCCAATACGGTAAAATTGATAAATTTATTTATTTTTTTAATTATCCTTTAAAGAGTTAAGAAAGTAATCCTATAAAGAAATGCGATTCGGGAGTCGGAGACATAAGTTCACTCGGGATATCTAAAATCCTATATCGTGTTTTAGTTAATTTCTCAAAATGATTACAATGGGCTGTGTTTGACAAGATAATTTTAACAGTTTAATTGAATTTAGTCATAAGGTGTTTAGCATTTGAATTGAATTTAGTTGGGTCGAAATGTAGAATGCACATGTTATTATCAATTTTGATCATCAATCCAATATGATGAAATTTATGTAATCTGATCATCTTTTTCGATTATTGTCTCATACAGAAGAGTTAAGAAGTTATTCTTGATGGGGTGCGATGTGGGAGTCAAGACAAATAGGAAAATAAAAAATGCTTGTGTCTAACATCCTATATCTTGTTTCAGTTAATTTTTTCAAAAGATTACACTAGAGTGTGTTTGACAAGATCATTCTGATAGTTAAATTAGTCTTGGTTTATTACGAGTGAAAAAAACTCCTACGGTGTTTAGCGTTTGAATTGAATTTAGTCAGTTCGGAATGAAAACATTGCACTTTGAGATTAAGATTGTCCTGGCCAAAGTGCAAAATCTATTTTGGGATCTTGACGATTATTGCTTACATAAAAAATAATTAGAGGGTACACTAAATACCTTCATCCAGGATGAACATATTAGGCATTAGGGATGTTTGGACTAATTAGGATGCACGAGTGTTTTGATGCTTATGTCTTGAGTGGACGTATCGAGTGCATTGAAATGTTTTGCTTGGTTAAGACATATTAGGTACTTTAATTTTTTTATTCTTTTCTAAGCAAAAGTTTGGTTGTATAGATTACTTCATATACTTATTTATCGAGCATGTGCAAAGTGACATTATAGTTACCTTAGGCTCTTCAACATCTCTTTTGTCCCATGTCGACATATCACATTCAAGGGGACACTTTTGATCACATCGAATACTTCAGATTTTTTTTAAATCATATGAAGACAAGTTCGAGTGATTCTATGTAACCTTAGATTATTGTGGTTTAGTTATTGATATCGACATGAAGGCACTTAGCTAATGCGAAGTTGTGATCAACTTGGGACTAATTTGAGGATGATTTGAAGGAGAGACCGATTTTTAGGCGTCTCAAAGGCACGATCAACTTGATGCATTCAACTTAAGAGCATAACTTGAGAAAGTGATCATTTTAAGGAAGCAACATTTTGAGAGCATAGTTGTTCTGATGGTGTAATAGTCTTTAGGGCAAACTTGACTTAACAATGCAACAAACTCGATGACACGATGAGGATATGACCTTCTTGAAGATGTGATCGACGGACTTTGCTCGTTTCAAATAACACAATTATTTTTTTAGGATGTAATTATTTTTTAGAATATGATCATCTTAAATATATAGTCATTTCGAAGAATACAAACGCCTTGAGGGTGCAATCATTCTGACGGTTGTTAACTTGGTGAGTAGTGATGTGAGTATATTTTGAATTTAAAATAAGATCCAACCTTGGGCATACAGCCAAGATGTCCGGGCCTCACGAGATGATGGAGGTTGAACTCAAGAAGACTATTTATTTTCATGTCACTTCTTAGAATTGTCTTTTTTTTGTCTCAACACGAGGTCTTCAATTACTAAGTCTTGTATCGCCCTTTGAAGTAGGTTTGGGAGCTTCACCGAAGACTTTTTGGCTATCAACCAGAGGAATGATGGTAATATTAAGCAGTTGGTAAAAAGTATGGATGACCATAAAGCGACGAGGATCAGAATCTTGTCATTGAATTTGGAGATGTAGCAAGCTCAGAACTCATCTTTGCCTTCTTGGATGGCTAGCAATATTGTTGCAAACTTATGGAGACATTGGCTACTGATGAAATGGATGGAGTTTAAATTCTTTTCACCAATTGCTCGATAGACATTTTTAGGCGAGAGGAAGGTGGGAGTACAACTCTTCGCCATTCTCGCTCAAGAGTGATTGGAAAAGCCTAACATCTGAGATTATTTGTACCTGAAGATAACCACATGCTCTCCATAGAGATAGTACCTCTATCGAAAGACACCAACATGTTCCTCTTGTATCAGTTGGATAAAAGAAGATTGGTTCTGAAGATCCAGTTAGTCGAACTCTTTCATGAGTTGTTTCTGTGTCATGTGTCGCTGAGATATCGGACACTCTTAAGGAAGATGGTGAGGTATAAAGGAGGGGAGCAGTATTCACGGGGAATATCTCCTCAGACAGACATACATCTCTTTGGGGAAGCCTTTGATCTAAGCTTTGCGTCCGCCACCGTGAAGTTAGAACGAGCCGCTCGCCCCTTGAGCTTCGCCGTCCAACATTCCTTCTTTCAAAGGCATTGTGTCTGGTCCATCTACGGGCCCTTGTTGCTGCCAATTTAGAGGGATGCAGAGGACTAATTGAAGACCTCGAAGGTGTCTTCTGAGGGGAGAGAGGAACATCTATACAGACAATTTAATGTAATGCTTCAAGAAAGAATTAGTTTTGCATTTCTCAGAAGCATTTCCACAAATTATTCTCAATTTCTACCATCATGAAGTCACAACAGGCAACAAGTTATCATAATGGCATGAATGCTGAAGAAAACAAAAATTCAAAACTTGGAACTATAAAATCAGTGAATCTCCTTTTGCTCAGAAAGAGCATATAGGAGTCTTTAAACCTGCATTCCCAGTGAAGTTACTATAGTTATTTGGAGGATGAACAGGTAGATTTGCCCTTTTCTTCAGCAGCTTGAAGTATTATTGCTTAGGCTTAGCTCAACCAAATAATCAATTGAGCAGAAGTCAGAGGTAGAGTTGAATAAGTTCATCGCTCACGACAGACGGTGTCAGAACTCCGAGGTCAGTGAAAAGCAGCGTAAGGTACTGAGGTGGGGTGTAATCCCTTGCGGATTTTTCGATCTCGACACCCGCTGGGATGGGAACACCAAATTCTATCAGGCGCAGAGCAGGTTCTAGGTCCTTCTGATCCAAGGGATATAACCGCGCAAACTGCACATCATCATAACCAAAAAAAAAAAAGTTCAGCAATGTTTTTGTCACCTTGGAAGAACACAATTTCTAATTTAATGTCAAGAAAGGAGGGAAAAGAAACTAATTGGCATCCTTTAAATAATAAAGAAGATTAAATAATATAACCACTTGAGAGTCTTCAAAAGAGTAATTAATGTCACTTGGAAATTAAAAAAAAAAAAGAAGCATGAGAAATTACTTATTTGCTTTCCAACAAAATGTAAGTCTTTGAATGATCACTAGATCAAACAGACATGGATCCTTCTACCATGTGGTCTGAAATTATAGAAATGAAAATAAAAAGGTCATTTAATTATCATATTAGGTACCACATTGGAGCAACTCCTCTCCTATGTTGGTGGGAACAGAACTTGGTTTATAGTACCCCATATCCCAGTACACCAGTAGGTTTACATAAATATAAATTTCTACTAACTAGAATAAGAGTTTAGTGTAATGTGCAACAGCAGAAGTCAAATGGAGTTACGAAATTTTTTAGCATAAGCTAGTTTACACTAGACATGCAATAATCTTTCCTTTTACTCAATTATATTCCTTAAATGCTCTTCACTTGTACTATAAAGTAAAAAAAACCTGAAAACATTTTAAGAAATTAACAATCACCAACAACAATAACAATAAAATCGTAAGTCCCAACTATCTGAGGTCAACTATATGGATCTTTTGCCGTTATTAAGATATGTAAGAAATTAACAACCACCAGACAATAAATCATGAGAATGAAAACAGAGCTATCCAAAAACCATCCTTATAAAGCTAATTACTTGGAGATGAAGAAACACAACATACCCAGTAATCTAGATAAGTGGTCTAACACAGGAGGAAACTTCAAGACTTCACACAACAATTGAAAATTCGATAATATATGAAAGCCACAGAAACAAATTTTCCTGTATTCCTGTGTAATACACAGGAAAATGACAACCGCAAGCTAAATCCCAATGATGTCCACTCCATCATGGAGTGGAAGATGAACATTCGTATATCAGAAATTCTTCACAAACTTCCACAATCATAACCTTCAAGAAAATCCATATTATTTATGTACAACATTTGAAACTGTCCTGGTACCTTGATCATGAAAAGCGTGGGGATGACAAAAACAAGACAAAAAATGATGCAGGCCAGGACTAGTTTTATCTTATGACTAGAGCTTTTACACATGACACAATTAGGAAAGCACAAGTATGGCTCCAAATTTGACCATCTAGTCCTCAACATAAGCATCATACATTATAAAATGTTTGGTATCCCATTTCTAACTCCAGAATAGTTCGTTCTGTCTTGCTTATATCCAACATTATAGTGGGAAAACGTACAGTTGTTTGACAAAAGCAATTTAGTATAATCAGGAAACCAAAATATGAAAAAAAACAAGACCTGGTTTTAACTTTAAGTATGCAATTACTGGTCATAAAAAAATTAAAAAGTTGATATAGATGAAAAACAGACCTTGTAACTTTCAGCAGCCACATAAACAGGTTTGTTCATGCTGTGAGCAACTAATGCAGTTTGATATGTTCCCATCATGTTGATAACACCACCACTTTCAACAACTCCATCAGCCCCAACAAGTACCATGTCAACCTCATCCATTGCATAGGCCACCGCTGAATCAATTAGAAGCTTAACAGGAATTCCTAGTGTTGCAAGTTCTTTCGATAACCTTAATCCTGTTTTATCCGGCCTTCCCTCTGAAACAGAACAAACATGTGAATTTCTTTTGTTGAAGTTAAGGCTTCCAGTGAATAATCATATAGTCAAAATGCTTCTTCGAGATGGACCTGTGCAAAAGACTCTGAAGAGTTTTCTATTTGATGCTGCCAGCTTCAGAACTTCCAAGACTACTCTTGAAAAGCCATGAACTAAAATTGTGCAACCATCAAATATAAAATCTTGACCAAGCATTGCAATCGTCCGGCGTGCCTTGCAAGGTTCATGTCAAATTAAGCTTCAACTGAGCAAGGATTAAAATAGAAGACAACACATAGAAATCATGTACCTTCAAGGAAATCTCTCCAAATTTCTCCCCTCGTTCAATCAACCGAAGCTTTGCAGCATGAAAGTCATCATATTCAAGAGCGGAAGTTCGGGTTACGTACCGCATGAACAGATCACAACCAGCTGATAATGATATAGAAGTTGTGTCCCATGACTGTAAAACAAGCATGTAGTTTGGTAAAATTCAATGTCAAGAGATAATGCAATGAAACCAACAACAATTACAATTTAAATTAGGCAAACTGAGAAGAAAATTAAGCATTTTGTCACCAAGTTACTCAGAAAAAAAAAATCTGTGTCCATTGATTTATCATTCTAAAACCATGACTATTTATATGTACATAAAAATGTCTGCTTCTTGCTCGACATGCATGCTCCATATCTGAAATTTTTGGTAATCCTTTTAGGAAGAACAAGCAAAAAATAAGCTACGAGAATATCAACCAAAAAAATGGCAAGCTAACTGCTAAAGCAATTTTGGAAGAGTCCATAAAATTATGACAAAAGATGCCACAAGAATAACAAAAAAGAAAAAAAAAGAAAAACTGAACCAGGCAAAGTTCAACTCCTACATTCTTAACTTTACCTCCATCAAATCTTAAACTTATTGGATCAGGTATCCAAAATCACTGTCACCATTAATCTCGTACTCAGATTATATGAACATCTATATAATCCTTGGCCATGAATTAGTCTAAACTAAGGTTTTTCCTAGATAAAGAATTTAGTCAACTATAATCTCTAGTAGTAAATACCCTCAATTTATTTTGAGCTAAATCTTGATAGAAAAAATTCTTTGAAGTTTCATGCATATCTCAAATATTATAAAGGACAATAGTCTGTAACATCTTAAGCGCCTTATGGTTGGTTGTCATCTAAAGTTCTTCACGTTACATTCCTAACTAGGAACCTTGTTACACATCATAATAATAAACAAAAGAATATATTCGAGAGAGACGGTGGGATGACTTCCTAATCATAGACTTAAGATGACCTAACCCTACACATGAACTACAGTAAATATAAACCTAAATGGAACTTGAGCCTGAGTCAACTGGTACCAAATGCGGTGCATCTACTTGTTCGATAATCTGTTTTCAATATTTTTCATATCGTCCTGAATAGTGAATACTATATAGATCGGCCATTTATTTACTCTTAAAAATTGTAATTTTACACCTAAAGCAAAATCTAAAGTAGGCCTTTCAATTCCACATAATTGCGTGGAAGTCATGACTAGGCTATCAGAAATTGTTCCAACAGGTACTCATTATACGATTCAAGAATTCCAGACATGCACAATCTAGCAAAAGAAGTACAAAAATGGGTGAATAGTAAGAAAACTTAAAGCAGGACGGCTTATAAGCGAATCATATATCAGCACTGATCCCACTTCCACATTTACAAGCGAATTATATATCAGCATTAACATATAGCGAACGGTTATCATAATTATCCCAAAACCGGCGAGAGTTCTATGAATCAAATCAACCATCCCGACCAAATTTTGTAGCGAAACTCCAAAGATAGTGGCAAGAAACCAAAAAAAATGGTTCATAAACTGAAGAGAGGGGCGGATGTGAAACCCGAAAGGTCGAACCTTTAGCGCGTCTGACGCCTTCTTAAGTTCAATCTCGAGCTCCATCATGGTGGTCGCGTCGCTGGAGCGGATACCGGCGACGAGGGCCATGATGGCGGCGACGGCCTCGGCGAGGTCGGGCTTCCTACGCCAGTGGTTGAACTCATCGATGACGCTGAAGGGCTTCGAGGCGGCGGCCGAGGCAGGCGGTTCCTCGGGAGGGTGACCAGCGGCGGCCGCAGCCTGGGCCTGTGACAGCCAGTCGCCGCTGATGATGGCGTGGTGCTCCGCCCGCGTCTGGTAGTAGGCGGAGATCCCGTGATTAGGTTTAGGGTTAGGCTCCATGATGGAGTCGGGAGAGGAGGTCGGAGCGTCTGCGTTTGGTCTCGAAGTTGCTCCTCCGCAACGAAAGAAACGAATCTCCCTTCTTTCTTTCCTCTTTTGATTTGATTCGATGATATATGTATTTTTCTATATTTTATATTTTAAATACAAACAAAATAAATTTAACTGTTATTAAAAATGTATTAATCTAACGTTTTAGATTAACATTAACAACAATGGCATAAATTGAGGATCTTAAATGTCCGAATCGACTATTAGAGAAACAATTGCTTGCATCTAAAAGCTTAAAAGATATTCTTTTAAAAATAATATATAATTTCATTTTGATTTAAAGTAAAAATTTACTTTTATAAGGGATATTCTGATCATCTTGAAAAAAAAATAAAAAGAAATATTCTTATCTAATCGGGCACACTAATCACACCTGAATTATGAGAAAAAATTATATGTGATTAGATATTATAATTTTAAGAAAAATATTATGTATTTTAAGTAGTAAATATTCTTCTAAAATAGTTTTTATTATTCTATAAATATTATCGATAGTATATCGTTCATAAAAAAAATTAAAAATAATAATTTATTTTTACATGTCGGATGATCCAGGGTGTTAGTCAAAGGACACCAACCGTCACATGTCTCATTGACCGCACACAGGACAAGCAGGAAATCGCCCACCGGCTTTCCCGTTCATGTACCTTGCGGCGGCCGCGACTGCGAGGTCAGACCTTCCCACCTACACCCACATGCTCCGGTTGGGTTACTTCCTCCTTTGCCTACTTATCCACACTATGCCAAGCCTCACGACCCCCATTCGTCTCTTCTTGATTCGTACAAGCTTCTGCCTCCTGTTCCGTCGATCGAAGACGAAGCACGATGTCCGATACGGTGCAGTCGACGGCCGTCGTCGGTGGGCTGTCGCTGGCGACGACCGCCGGGTTCATGGTCGCAGCAGTGCTCGTCATCTTCATACTCTTGATCTTTGTGTTCGTTCTGTACCTCAACGCCAAGCGGTGGAACGGCGCCAACCCAGTCTCCGGCCGCGGCCGCGCCCGCGCCCGCCTGGTCTTCGTCGCGGAGCCTGCCGCCGGCCCGCAGCAACGCGGCCTCGATGCGGCCGTCATCGAGGCGCTCCCGTCGGTGTCGTTCCGACCCGAGGACTTCGAGGAGGCCGTGGAGTGCGCCGTCTGCCTCTGCAGGCTGGCGGAAGGCGAGGCCACGCGCCTGCTGCCCAAATGCAACCATGCCTTCCACCGGGAGTGCATCGACATGTGGTTCTACTCCCACTCCACCTGTCCGCTCTGCCGGAACCCGGTCGTGCTCGACGAGCCCGAGACCGCTGATAACAGCACCGCAGCCGTTGCTTCCGATGCGCGTGCGGGGGGGTCATCGTCTCACTCCCCGGCGAATTTGTCTCAAGCCAGTGTTGGAGGCTCGGGCTCTGCTTCGGTCTGTTCTGCAAGCAGGTTGGAGGGGGCATTGGCGATAGAGATAACATGGGGAGAAGTGGATGGGTTCCAAGCTCCGAGTAGGCTCCCTGAGGAAGACCTCAGGTCGCCGACGGCAGCAGCGTTGAGATCGCTGCGAAGGCTTCTGAGCTGCGGAAGCAGGATGGCTGGTGATGTCGAGCAGGGATGTCTTCCGGTCCCCAAGCCGCCGCCGAGTTCATGAATGAGCTAAAATGACGCAGATGAAGATTTAGCACATGGAATACAGTAAGATTTGTATAGAAAGGAGAAGATGATTATTTCCGATGTGATTTTTGTGTTATTTTGTTGATTTAGCTCAATCACGTTGAGATTTCTGAATTGGAGTTTCATTGTTCATCGAAGCTTACTGTTTACGAACTTTTTTTACTTTTACTATCTCTTTAAAAAATAATAAAATATTTTTTTTTTTTACAGTTATAGTTAAAATAATTGTTTTTACTATTACAATTATTATCTCTTCGCTTGTTATCGACGCTTAAATAATAACCCCTCGATGCTTGTTGTAAGTGTAGTTGAAAATGATATCATTTATTATCGATATGGATCGTCATCGTCAATGACATTACTTATTGTTGACTATCACCATCAATATTGGTTGTCAACCATACTAGCTATCCTTTGTCATCGATGTCATCCAACTTTGCTCGTCACGAGAGAGAAGAAAATAATTTATATTCATTTAGAAAAAATAGTTTAGAAATATTTAAAAAAATTAAATAAGATTGTAAATAGTAATTTCTTTCTTCACATTTAGAATTTAGTTTAGACAATTTTACATATCTATCCTTGCAAAAACTTTGAAATAGCATATTTGCCCATACAAATTGTAGAATATAACATATATCTCATGGTTAAATAAATTATTATTTATAATTTAATACATAAAAAAATAAAAGTACTCTTAGAATTCTTACCATTATTTGGACTTGTAAAGGATATTAATGTCACTCTGATAGTAAAATAAAAGTCAGTTAATTTGGACTTGTAAAGGACTTGTAAAGTGTTTTTTTTCACTATATTATATATTTATATATATATATCCCATTTGTAGAACATAAAATTACTTATGAATATTAAAAAAAAAAATCAATTTGATTAGGATAAATAGGTCGAATGTATTGTTTCAGTGATTCAAAACATTGGAAATTCATGTGTTTTTCCAAAACAACTCACAATATTTTATGTTCTTTCTCTTTGTAGCTGACAATTTGTTGGTGTAAAAACTCAAAAAAAAAATCCGACCCAATTAACAAAAATAGAAAGAATAAGATTTGGAAATCATGCCGAATCACATAGAAAAGAATGATTTCACTCCTTGAAAATGAGAAATGTCAGATGATCACTTAATTCCTAACTAAAAACATAGGCAATGCAGAACTCTCACCTACTAATTCTTCAAGTAAAATAAACACAGATGTTACAGAAACCTCAATGTCTCATCATTAAGCAATAACTATTTGTAATTTCTTAGAAAACACTAACACAATTTCCCCTCTGGTTTCAGTCAGATGAATCGAATCCTTGGTCAAGAATGAACTTAATGGTGAGCAGCTGCCTTCCATGCCCATCTTGCAGTGTTCCCTGGGAGGGAATGGACTGTTGCCCACTGAAAGAGAGATCTTTGTCAGTGGGCACCAATTTGGGAGGAGCCTCTTTTGATCTGGACCAGTTCTTGTGCTCTGTGCTTCAACAAGACACTCGAGAGATGTTTCCCTGCTCTGTGCTTGTCTTTTGTTTTTGGTCTTTCTGGAGATGTCTACTTCCACTGGAGATATTTTGCTGCAAGGTTGTGGAGTTCATGAACTTGCCATACACATGGTGCATGGTGAAGTTTCTATCATCAAGAGACTGTAATCTTCTGCACTGCTCGAGTGCCTCTCTCTCTCTCTCTGCAACACAGAACAGTCACTGTCAGGAGACAGCAAATTCTTATCTTTCTTTTCCCTGGATATGTCCTCCAGCTCATGTGTTGCAAGTGGACCTACATTCCTCAGCATTCACTTTGGATATATTCCAAGAGTGATATCTTGGAGAGAATGGAACACCTTTTTTAGGTGGGAACAGATTCTGCTTCAGAGTGGACATACATCTTCCATCTTAATCCCCCCGTTGGCACAGAAGAATCTGAGAGAGCTTCAGAAAAATATGAGAATCTGCACACGAGAACAATGATGTCAGTTGCTCATACACAAGTACAATTGGAATGTATTAGATTTCTAGAAAGAGAAAAAGGAGCAAGAAATTTGGAACACAACATGCTAATTCAGAAAGCTAAGGGTTTAAGAGAACAGCAATCTGTGATCTAAAGCAGTTTGGATAAGAAAAAGGTGCTTGTTCATTGTCCAGATCAGGCATAAGCATGCATCAGATCTTAAAAGCACAAGTTGGAAAAATGTTTGTGGCCAATTGTGAAAACGCAGCTAATCAAGAATTTGCAATGCCGGTTGAGCAAAAAGAATCTGAACAATTGATGTAACCAAATGATACAAGTCTGATAGCTGCCGAATGAATTAGACAAAATGATGAAGCGAAACAAGCTGCAATCGGATAAACGAAGACAAGAGCTGAACAATGAGTCGAAAATATGAAGAACACTACGACGAGCGATAAAGAGCAGTTAGACCGCGGCCACATACCCTTTACTAAGGGCTGCACCCATAAAGATCCTAGGAATTTCATAGGAAAAAGGAATAAGGAGGTTCGCTACAAACAAAGAAGCAAAGACGACAGTCGTTGTCAATAGAAGAAGCCATCACCAGCCTCCCTCCTACCTGCAGCAGTATCTACAACTGGTGATGAAGATTGGTTGCTCAACGGATGACTACAGAAATTAGGTTCACGCAACATCAGCCATGATAGCGAAAAATCATCAGACAGAAACCATCCGCGGCAACCGATCAACATCAAATCATGTAATATGCTAATGAGAATAAGTGAGCTAACTATGATAGAACTGTTTACATTTGCTAAATGGCGGTTGTCTCAGAATTAACATCAAGCAGCAGTCATCTCTGAAGACCAAACACCTCTCAGATGCAAAACTAAAAGATGGATGCACATTTTCCTAAAGGAGCTGATTTCGCAATGAATGCTTCCAGTTCCTATCCATTATCCAGATCAATTGAAGTACCAGTAATGAGGAAAGAAGGGTCCCTTGCTTACATATCCCTCTCGCCTTCCTATCCGATTGTCAAGTCTCATTCAAGCTACTTATCTCTTTAGGCCTGACCGTAAGTTAGCAGCCGTGTGCTTCTTTCATTCTTGTTTGCGATTTCGATTAGTTTGATTTATACTATCAAACAGTAGTTCAATGTATTTCCACAGAGATAAAAAAATTATCTACAGAGTTCGGACTAATTCTATGGCTTTTACATAAACTACATATGCAAGTTAGACCATCAGAACAATTCTCTCCTAGTTCAAAATCGACCTTTAGCATTCCCGGCGACGTGCAATTCGGATTCACCAGAAATCAGAACACGAACAAGTACTAACGTTTGATTCAAACCCAGCAGTATAATTCGGCTTACACACATAAAAAATCTAAGTCTAGTTTTGCAGAAGCATATTCCATATCTAAGTTGAAACATGAACTTGATGGTGTAAGATGCAGTGAAACAAAGACTGCTAGACTTTTGTAGATTTCAGGAGCATTCTGGGCAAGAACAGTGATCAGTCAACAATCCACAAAAGCCACAACAGAGCAAGAGAACCAAATTCATCTTCCCAGTGTACAATCGACGAGATTCAATAATATTGCAGAACTAAGATCGGTAACGATGCATGAAGGAACAAATAGAATTAGTGAGCAATAGATAGCAAAGATCTTGTTAGGCAGAAAACCCAAATTTTAAACTTTCAACATGGATTGAAGTAAATAAACAAAACAACATACAAAAGTAAACACGAAAAGAATCCTCAGCTGCAAACACTTAATATGCACTAAATCCTGTACAAATCTAGTGGAAATTTAGATGCTAAACCTTCAGTTGTTCCAGTGGGGGAAAAACGCTCTTTTTCTGCATCAGGCCGCCTTTCATGAACTCGTCGCTGTTTTAGGACTCGGCGGACGTCTTCCCTGCTCGATATCACATCTTCGAGGACTACAGGAAGCATCAGCCATCCTGCTACCACGGATCAGAAGCCTCCGCAATGACCTCAACGCCGGTGTTGTCGGCGACCTGATCTCTTCATCAGGAGTCCTCTCCACAGGCAATGGCGAGCACGGAGTTTGGAAGCCATCCACCGCTGTCCTCGGCATCTCAGTCACCAATGCGTCCTCTGACCTCACATAAGAAGAGCCAGAAGTGCTCGAGCTCCCTTCCGGTCCGCCGAAACTTCCACTGGCGACCCGACCCTCTGACGTGTAAGACAGCACATTTGCCGCAGAATTCAGCGACGGTTCGACGGAGTGACTATCGCCGGGAACCGATTCAGCGCCGGGAACAGCACTCTCGGGCTTCACGAGCTCCGCCGAGGTCCGGCAGAGCGGGCAGGTGGAGTGGGAGCAGAACCACATGTCGATGCACTCGAGATGGAAGGCGTGGCCGCACTTGGGCAGCAACCGTGCGGCGTCGCCCTCTGACAGCTCGCAGATGCAGACCGCGCACTCCAGGCTCTCCTTCAAGGCCCCGGCGGAGACCACCACCGAAGGAAGCGCCGCGACGGCAGCAGCGTCGAGGCCGCCCGGCCGCGTGGCGGCGAAGGAGGCCAAGCGGGTGCCAGCGGCGACGGGGATGGCGCCCCAGTAGCACTTGGCGCGGAGGTACAGGAAGAAGGCGAGGACAAAGAGCACGAAGAAGGCGACCACCGCTGCGACCATGATCCCGGTGGTCGTCATCGGGGACAACCGTCCAACGCCTCCCGTCGACTGCTCTGTTCCGGACATCCGTCTTGTGACTCTCCTCGTAAGATTCCTGCGCAAATTGTAGTTTCGAAGGAGCTCAGTAATGAAAGAAATGGCAAGCAAAGCAGTCTCTTTTTGAGAGAATCAGCAGAGCAATGGAAGTGTAAGTCCTGCGTGTGTGTCGTCGTCTCATATACTGTCACGAGAGAGAGAGAGAGAGAGAGATTATTTTTCTTAAATTTTCTATAAATGTATCATTCGAATTTTTATAATATTTTTTATCATTAAAATGAAAAACGTGTATATATATCTGTATATTCAACCATAACATAATAAATGATCGCATAAGCCATCAAATTAAATTTAGAAGATAATTACATGGAACAATCTGCTTAAGGTAAATGACCTATGACACATTCTTGCTTAAAGGAAAACTAATGCTCGTATGGGATGATAAGTGTAGAGTTAGAAGAAAGGTATCAAAGACAAGTAATATAAATTTCAGTTGGAATAAATATAACTTTAATATTATAACTATAATTAAAACTAATATAGTGAAATGACATCTTTGTACCTCACACTGTGCAGGAAATGAGGTAATTTAATGGAAGAAAATAGTGATGTGGAGAGAGATTGGTTGGAAGTGGCATTGTTTGGTAAGTGGAGCTACTGCACTTACTTCCATGATGGGTTGGTCAAACAGCTCCAACTATGGTCTTTGTAAGCATCAGCAAAGTTTCATGGTGGTGATGTGATGACAATTGTTTATGTGAGCATCACTAATAATGAACAATAGATTGCTATTTTCCTTTTACTTATTATTTGGATCTTCCTAAGAATGAACAATAGATTGCTATTGTTACTTATTTTAAGATCAAATAATAATAATAATAATCCACAGACATCTACTATTATTGATTCCTCCAATCTGATAGGTTGACAAAGCAAGCAGATCATTGCAGATTGTCCATGCAACTTTGGGCCGATCTAGGGCTGCAAGATAACCCGCGGAGAGCTCCAACGTCAACCTGCATTGTTGATCCAATGCAATAGGTTTACAGAGCAAGCAGATCACCGACTCGAGTTGCAGACTGGCCATGTAGCTTTTGCCCCAAAATCTAGGGCTGGGTAGACAGTGCACAAAGAGCTGAACCAGTGCAGGTAATTAAAGTATCGGGACTTGTTGGCATTTTAGCCAACACTTGGCGTGCCCGTTTGTTCTTGCGTAAAGAGACCACTTTTGACTCTGTGGGCGTTCTTGGAACGCTCATCCTCTCGGATAAATCAAACAATTCTTGGTGCCGCCTTTTTGTTTGGTTTGATGGTTATTCTGTGGGCGGGACTCTTACAAGCGGGAGAGAGGGGCATCGGAGGGAGGGCAAGTGTGCGGAGGGCGGAGTCCTTAAAATGCGTCGATTTGCCACGGAGAGAGCGAAAAGGCTGCTCTTTGGTTCGCTCCTCGCCTCGCGGTCTCCGCCTTCTGCTTTCCTCTGTTCTTCACCCCCCGCCGCCGCCGCCATGGATCCCGCTGCTGGTGTTGTCACTGTCGACACGATCAACCCAAAGGTTGGTTATTTCGTCGATTTGATCGGTAAAGATGCCTTCTTGAGTCGATTCGATCACTTCATCCGTCGATTTCGCAGCTAAAATTTGATCGTCGCCCAGTTTTCGTGCTGGTTAGGTAAAGTTGGTTTCGTGTTATGATTTTTCGAGTGAACTGCTTGTTATTGTGGTTCTAAAAGAGTCAGCTTTGACTATTCCCTTAAGTGGACTCTTCTGTTTGATGAGGCCCCCCACCCCCTCCAACACCCACAAGATTCTCCTCCTCTTGTAAGTGGTATGGCAGGACCTCGTTCTTTGGTTGCTTCTGGCTGTTCATTGTGTTACTGTTCAACTCCTCGACTCAAAAGTGATACGCAACAACTGTAGGTGTTTCTTCAGATGTTTGACGCGAGTGCGAAAGTGATCTGTGCTTCCCATTTGGTGGATTTTATTAATCTATTCCTTCTGTTGTTTAAGAAATTTTTGGTTCCACTGCAGTAGCAATAGCAGGTTATTTATTATCTCTCTTTCTTTGGTTTTTTATGTGAGTGCGAACTGCAGCAGCAGTTACATGTGATAATGCCCACACATTTTGCAATCTCCATGTTAAATTTTGTCTATACCTTTTGCTCTCTGGATGGTTATACTTTGCAGTTTGCAACTTTTAATAGGTGGTATGTGTCTCGGTAACATAAATCAAGTCATATATTTCTTTTATTTCAGGTTTTAAAATGTGAGTATGCTGTTCGTGGTGAAATTGTTAGCCATGCGCAGGTACTTCATTTCTCTTTGATGTTCATTCCATATCTTCATTTATGTTTTTCCTAGTCATAAATAAAAGATATTGTTGTATGTATTATGCTATCTCATTTCTATAATCGTATGATGAATTTGGGCGACCAAGCATACAGCTTTTGCCATATCTTCCTTCCGGTTGCTTGATGACATTTCGAAGGCCTCCTGAATGCCTGTTTTGTTTCTACTTTAGCAAACAACTATGCATTCCGATGTCTTGCCATTTAATAATACCTGAGTAGATTTTGTCACAATGAAGGTCATTAACTTATACATGACGTTGTATGTGCAACCATCCATCTATTTGTTGATTGGAGATTCTTGATGATTACCTTCTAGTTTCTTTAAACTCTCGTATTAGTGGCGTTCTAAATTATATATGCAGAAAGAAATGATACTTGGTTCGGTAGGGTTGTTCACTTTTGCATGTAATGCTACTAGACCTTTATCAGACTAAACATTCAACTTTCCTTGAGCTAGGATCATAACCCGCTTGGTCTTCTAAAAACAAGCTAAGGTGGACAATGGCATTTGAGTTGATTTGTGATATTGGCATATTTGTAGCAAACATGATGCATAATTTATTTTTGACAAAGTGGCTTAAATTGGTTTCAAAATTTCTCTCTTATGTTGTGGTGGTCAGAACACACTTATACTAGGACAATTTGCTATTATATTCAATTCTGAAGACAAATCTCGACAAGGACATGGTGCAGATGATAATCCGTGAAGTATGTTGATCTGCTTCAATTATATTGCCTAAAGAACTGATGTATCTGTTTCTCGTTCCAATTCCAGCGCTTACAACAGGAGCTGCAAGACAAACCAGGGTCCCATCCCTTCGATGAGGTGCGTATAATTTTCAGTCCCCGTGTTATTCATTTATAAATATTCAGCATGATTTCATCTTAATCTCCAATACATTTGATGCTTTTCTATTTATATTGTTATGGAGTGATTCTTATTCTAATTTTTTGTTTAGTACTTGTTAATTTGTTTTCTCTTAATATCATTGAAATTTCCAAATTGAACTGGCAGATACTGTACTGCAATATTGGGAATCCTCAGTCTCTTGGTCAGCAGCCTGTTACCTTTTTCCGTGAGGTGTTTGTACACACAACTGTTTTGACTAATTTAGTTAGCTTTAGTTTGTCCCTAGTACTTAATTTTCCTATTTCAGGTTCTTGCGCTGTGTGACCATCCATCTCTTTTGGACAAAAGTGAAACTCACGCCTTGTTCAGGTATATTTGAACAGTACTTTTGCATGTACTAATATTCAACGAAATCATTCTAAGTCCACTGGAATACAACATTCCCTTTTGTGTGTCATGTGCTGTCAATGCTATGCCAGAACTTTAGTCTTTGGCTATGGCTATTGTATTTTGTCTCTGTTTCCATTGATTATTCTCTGAGATGGAACAAACTTCCCTCTGGAGTCATTATGCCAGAAGTAATGCAGTATTATTTTTTTGCTTTTTTCCAAACAGTTCATTCAATGTGCACAGGAGTCATAAATTAGTGCTTTAGTGGTTTGCCTTACGTCAGTCTGCCTATAACAGTTCACACTATGCTATTCTTTGTTCCAAGCAACTTGAGTAGCATCTTGCAGAATTCCCGGTTCTACTAATTTGTAAATACAGGTATCTCTTAGTACAATGGTATAACACAATGAAATTTCCAGCTTTATTTATATTGAACTACACAAGTCAGAAAATCTTCTCATGGATATATTCGACCATATATCCAAGTCGTGCAACCTGATATGCACATAATTCTGAAGAACTACACATGTCAGAAAATCTTCTCCTAGAACACTAATTTGCTAAGGTTCTTGTTAGCGTCAACATTGTGTATGGTAGTCTGCTTTAAAATACTGGGGCTGATATCTATTACCTACCTCCTATGCATGTTGGAAACTAACTAATTAAGTAAAACTTGCTTTCTGCCTAGCTATGCAACTTACAACTCAGATCATTAGATGTATGCTTTAAGTTAACGTACGGATACATGGGTAAAATATTTACGTAATGCAATATTTACATTACTGCAGTGCTGATGCAATAGCAAGAGCATGGCAGATTTTAGATGTGATTCCTGGAAGGGCTACAGGAGCATATAGCCATAGTCAGGCAAGAACATGCTTTTATTTCTTGCAGAAATATTCTCATCTCTATTCACTGCATGGTCCTAAGAACTATTAATTAGACAGGGTATCAAAGGTTTACGAGATGCAATTGCTGCTGGAATTGCTGATCGGGATGGTTTTCCTGCCAATCCAGATGATATTTTCCTAACAGATGGAGCAAGTCCTGCGGTATTCGCTTGAGCTTTTATCTTTCAGTTGTTTACATGATAAAGATGGGAGGTATTGCTGTTCATGCTGATTACTCTTTTTTTTCACTTCAGGTGCACATGATGATGCAGTTGTTAATAAGATCTGAGAAAGACGGCATTTTGTGCCCCATTCCTCAGTACCCTTTGTATTCTGCTTCCATTGCCCTTCATGGTGGCTCTCTTGTATGTTCATTCATATAGTCTTGAATCAGTTGCTATATTTTCTACTATGTTATAATGATAAGAAAAACACATTCCCAAAATTTATCTTCAATAAGCTATATTTTTATGGTTCATAGGCAAATATGGAGTGATGCAAACTCTATAAGATTCCTGTTGATGTTTGTCAGAAAGTTTAATTTGTAATTACTCATATTTTCGAAGCAAGTTATATTTTTGGTAATCTAGTTAAAGTTAGTTAATGATAGAATTGCTATGGTCAGGTTCCGTATTACCTTGATGAATCAACAGGATGGGGATTGGA